AAGATATCGCCCCCAGGATCGGAAACACGATCGTGCGCCAAAATCGGGGACATTGCCCGATTCCTGGAGATGGGAGTGAGATCCAGGGCAGGGCCTATCCTCCCGACCAAGAGTGATCCTGACCTGATGATCCAGGCCATTGTTCCCGCACCCGAGGAGCTTCTGGACTACTTCGCCGACGAGATCCGTCAGAAGGTGAAGGGTAGAACGGGCGCCTCTTCGCACTACTACAGGAGAGCATGCGCGGAAATACGCGACGCGCTCCGTGGAACAGCTGTGCAGCCTGGAAATGCAGGTGCAGTCAAGGACCCAGAGTTGGAGGCCTCGTCTGCCAGCGGGCAAGGGAACGTTACTTCGGTGATACAACTGAAGAAGTTCCTGAGCCACTACTTCGGGACCAGCGTCGAGTCCGAGGATGCCTTTTCTTCATACCTCCTGTCTTCCTTTCTCGAGGATGGGGTGGGAATGTTCGAGATCATCATCACCGTCATTCGTGACAAGGAGCGTCGGTTGCTGCCTGGTTCCGCCCGCATAGCGGCGGTAAGGTCGCTTGAGATCGGATCCGACACTGATTACCGGGCATTTCGTGAACGATACCAATACATGCTCTACGAGAGCCCTGTTTGTCTTCCTATCACCTCCAAAGTGGTTCCCAAGACGCTCTACAAGGTGGTGCCTCTCCGAATGTATCGGCTCTACGTAGAACGTGGGGCGATCATTCGGGGTGGGCGAGCTCTGATCGAGCTCCTTCCCTCTCGGCCGGATGAGTATCAATCCCTCCGCGATCACGGAGAGTGCCCCAACGACACTGTCGACCGCATCACCGACAGCAACGTGACGGAGCTGCACACCTCGGGTCGACGCCAAAGGAGCGATCCCCGATATGTGGTCATGGCTATCGATGCACGTTTCTTCTCCATGGAAAATGGGGGCATGCATATTACTCGTCAGGGTACCTTTGCATCGCGCGAGAACATCGCGATCGGGTACTGGAGATGCGTCTACTTCAAGGAGGACTGCTCCATCATTTACCTGAGGCCTTGGTGCTATCCGCCCAACTTCCTCAACTCTATGAGTGATAACCCGAGGAAGTGTCGGGACGAGATGGAGAAGTACCATCAGATCACCAAGACGGAACATGCCCGCGAGGTGGTGTCCGTTCCATGCCATAGGTGCATGACGGCCCATCCGGTCGGCGCTCACCTGTGCACCGCCTGCTACCTTCCCATCTTCTACGATGGCGTCCTGCCCACCGGAGACACGAACGGCGGCCCTCGCACGATAGCGAGCACTGACGGGGTGATTCCTCCCTGGCTGGCAAAATACGAGGGCTTCGTCCCCGCTCTGTGGAACAACTCAGACGCCAACGCCATCGGAATGGCCCTCTACTCGCAGAGTCCCGCCGTCGATGCCCGGTCCTTGTTGATGTCTGGGATGCGGCCTCCTAAGTACCTTGACAAAGAGGACGTGGATGGCATTTTCCGAAAACTTCACGACTCGCTCCGAGACGAAGTCCTTGACGGCAAATACCGCGACACGGTCGCGTCCCCGAATTCTTCGAAGAATATGAGGGATATGCGGCTGAGTGGGGCAGACGCCTAACCACCGCAAACTTCAACGCCAACCGGTGCGGTTTTTACACGTCCTACTACATTCTTGAGGCCCATATCATTGGGCTGAGAACAGGACACCTTTCTCCGGTACTCCCCAACGATGTGTCCGGGGAGGGATTCAAGTTCCAGGTGGGGCTGCTCGCACAGCACTGCGGGATATTGCAGGCCATGCGGAGAAAGGCCGGATTCGATCCTGCCGCGCGCCTCAAACGGGCTATGGACACGATACGGGAAGGCATTAAGAAGGGGTATGTCTACACCCTCAACGACCTCAGCAGTATGGACGATCTGATCTACCGGACGTCCACCGTTGCCTACGACACATGCTTGGCCGACCGTCCTCAAACCCAGGATGACATCAAACAGGAGCTGTCCGACCCTGTACCAAGGAAGTACCGCTTCCGACCCCGCGATCGCCATCGACCCGGAATTCGCCTTACACCAGGCCCCGGCGTGAAGGACGAAGACGAGCCCGACTTTGCTGGATCAGCGGAGGATGAGCTGGGATCGGATGGTTCTTCGCACGAAGATGACGAGAAGCCTGACGACCTTGACGAGCCCATGGGCGACGACGAGGAGGAGATCCCTCCCCCTCCGCCACCGCCCCCGGCTCCTCCTGCGCCGCCTGTCCCGGTAGAACCGGAGACTCCCGTGGTGCCGCATGCAGGCGTCAGTTCTGGCGATGCTGTGCCAACTCCTCCTCCTCCTCCTCCCGCTCCCATTGCGGCAGGCGTTACTACGACTGGGGATCCGTTTGAGGAAGAGGACATGGCCATCAGTACTCGTGTCCCTGACACCGAGTCCGAGCTGGAGGGTGAGTCCGACCAACCCAAGGCCAGGAGGACATCCCGTGGTCGGGTCCCCGCGCCCGAGAAGCGTTCAGGTCCCGCCTAGCGGGCAACCCAGCTCTAAGAGCATGGCCCAGCCTGCCCGTCCATCCCCGGTCCCCGCGAGAAGCGGTGTGGAAGGTGGGGAGAGAAGGGGCAGGACCAAGGGTTTCTACACCCAGAAGGATCCTTTTACCGGCGAGGACGCGACTCCCCGAGTTCGTCTTCGATCGGGCGGTCCCGGAACTCCTGCGTCCCCACCACGGGATGCCACCGGTTCCTTGGGCGGCCATGGCGGCTATGACCCGCGCGATGACGACAACGACGAGTGGGAGCTTCCCCCGGGTGTGCCTCGGACCACTCGTGCGGCAAATGAGTCGCGGCCCCGCCGAGATGACGATCGGTCGAGGACCGCGCTTGGGGCCCGCGAGGATCGTCGCGGTCCTAAGGGTGAGGGGAAGGGTCGAGGAAAACATCGACCTGGCAAAGGTGGACGCGAGGATCCTGGCCCGCCCCGACAAAGGGATGATCGTGGCAGGGATACCCGCGGAGGCCGACGCGATGATCGCCGACCTCCTCCACGTCATGAGGAGACCTCCGAGAGGCGCGGCCCGGGGCGAGATGAGCGCCGCGGACGTGATGACCCGGGTGATGACCGTCGCGATCGCCACCGGGACCGGCGCAGGGATGACCGACGTCACCAATCAGATCCCCCTCCGCCTCGCCGACCTCCGGCTGGTGACCACAATAGGGGTGGTGGTGAGGATCGCCGTCGGGATGGAGGAGGTGATCGAGGTGACCGTGGCGGACGCCGGAGAGACGACGTGCCCAGGGACCGGGAAGAACCTGGTTCAGGGTGGTAGGCGGGTACCGCAATCAGCATCCGCCTTAGAAGGGCGAGGATGGTACGTGTGTCGCCGAAAAACGCGACCGCGCCGGTCATCCTCTCGCCCATGCGGCGCTGCTGGGGGTGATGGTCTCCATTGCCCTGTACCGCTGATCCGGCGTTGCTCGTGTCCCTCCCGCACCGCTGCCGCGCGCGCCGGAGACGGTTCCCCTGGCGATCCTGTGTGAGGCTGTGACCGCACTAGAAGTGCCGGGCCGGCCATAGCCGGATATTTTCACACCAATTTCGGAACTTCCGTTTCTAATTTCCTCCCAACTCGACTACTCTTCCAACCGCTCCACGGCGTGCAGTGAGGCGCGGTGATCCAGATAGGATCCCCCTCCGCATGGCATCGTCCCATGACAACTCATGAACGGCACGAGAGGAATCTTCGTATGGTTCCTCCAATATGTCTTTGTTCACTCATGTGGTCCACTCGTCAAATAATCCTGTCGCCCCGATAATTCGGGGTGGTGGCGGGATTTTAACTGGGGCCCAGGTGATGCCGTTTGGCTCACCTCTGAGTTGACACCGGCATTTTTGGTTGGTCCCTTTCGTCGTGAACTCAACTGTCTCGCATCCTTTCTCTCGTCCAGATACCGGATGAGGGGGGTGTGTTTTGTTCACGTGTTGTTTCATCATGTGGCAAAACGGCCGAATGGCCGTTTGGCTCAAGTTTTCCACCTCCCGACAGGTCTTCTGCGGTAAAACGTCAGGCGCCATAGTGCGGCGGTCTTCCCCCTCATTAAGTAGTTTGCTGCTTGGTGCGGGATAGGGCTGGCACTAGGAGGTACCTGGTTTTACGGCGCGGGCGCCCTGGGCTTGGTGGCATACTTCCCGATTTACTATTGCAACGTGTTTCCAAACCTCCCCCACATCCTCAACCCGGTCATCATCCACAGCTTCATCCGAGTTGTGTTTCCGGGTGCTGTGGGCACTTTGTGATCTACCTTGTGCTCATTTGCTTCCCTGGGCTACTTCGTGTTCGCCCAAAACCGCATTTAGCAATCGGGAGTGGGGCAGGAGATCAGGACATATCAGGACACATCAGGATAAATGAAGAAGCCAGCAGTGGCATTTGGAGTACAATAATTTCCCTTTTGAAAGCGGCCAGCTCTGGCCAGCTGAAGGTGCGCATGGTGCTGCACCCGACTTCGCCAGCTCTGGTAAATGTAGCCCATGGTAGCCTTTACCCAGAGTTTTAGCAGGTGACCCCTTGACATGTTGACCAAATCAGGACCAACGACTTCCAGATCTTTCTTTTTGGTGGGTTGGCCATGCGGCTTGGAGGTTGTGTTCATTCATATGGTTCATCTTGCCTTGCAGAAGCACCCTGAGCTGCAAACCCTTCCTGTGAACCTGACTCTGCTAGGCTCATATGGGCGTGAGCCCAGGTTGGGTGCCGCGCATGCCGCCCCATGACCCTTTCTCTCACTTCAGCCACTTGCTCAAAACCGATTCGGGTAAGTGAAGGTTAGTAAGCAACGATCCCCTTGCCATTGCTGCGGCTCTCCGCCTTCTTGGTTCTTTTCCTGGTTCTGGGTCGACCATTTTGGTACCGGGTTTTGTTCCTGGACTCCACGAACAATTCAGACGTTTTTCTGGCCCATCCGCTGGATCGGAACTGAGCTCTCTCTCCCCTCGTCGTTTCTTGCGAGGTCGGTCGGTTGCCAGGCCTCTGGTTTGGCTTATGGGCATGCGGGTGCGGCCCCGGCTGAGAACCTCCAACATGCGCTTGCTGCTGGCCCCTTTGGGCGAAAACGAGGGGCGGGGGGGAAGGGGGACAAGGTTCCCAATGTGGGGGGTGCGGGAGAACCGGAGGGAAGGAGGCAAGAAGGCCCAAGAAAGCAGGACGCGGGTTCAGATGAGAAGATCAGGTTGGAGACGGAAGATCGATTTAGCAAAGAAATATCAAGTTTGGAGTACATGAAGCAAAGGACGATGGAATCGAACCCAGTCGGTCTCCCCTGACTTCCAACGTATCAAGTTCCCCTGTTGCTTGTCTTCCCCTTGTCTTTCAAATGTTCGTGAACGATCAGAGCAATCAATGTAAAAGAAAAAGAAACGACAATAATGATCAGGATAGTCAACTTATAGTGCAACGTTTCGCATTTGGAATGAAAGGTGCGCTGTGTAGATTGGTCCGCACATGTTCCCACACAGTTGTGTTGCGGCGTGTGCAGCGCATAAAAAAAGGTGACAATGAAGACAAGTTTACACATTATGCAAGCGTTGCCACTGCCTGTACTCACTTGTTTGGCGTGAATTGATGGCCCTAGACTACGCTCAAGATGTCCATGCCGTTCCAGAATCAGTACCCACACCCAGCTCGCTTTTGCGTAAGTACCACGATTTGTTTTAGTGCCTGTGAGCTGCGTGCGTGAATAGACGGTTGCGTGCATGGGTTTTGGGGATCAATGTCACTGCTGGTTTAGCCCATTTGCAGAAAGCATACTCAACATAGAATCAATCAGATTGTTTCTGTTCCTTGTGTTTCTATCTGGTATCGTCGAGTTGTCCATGTTTTCAGTTCTTTGCAGTTTTGAGTTGAAACGGGAGAGCCATAAACCAGCAATTCGCAGCAAGCCGGGAAGCGGGATCTGGGAAGGCTCCGGAAAGACGACGGGGGACGCATGGCACGGAAGGAGAGGGATGCGTTTGATTACGCCTCCCTAGGTGCTGTCAGGGTCGTGGCTCCTGAAGCAAAGGGTTCTTGCAGAAGCGAGCTGCCGCGGAAATGGTTGGGAGGTTTTTTGTAGGCCGTTAAGGTGTGCATCATAGAACATCCATACAATCGAGTTGTTTTTCTTAGATTCTCAAACTTGGCCCATCTCTAGAGGCACCCAATAGGCTTTTTTGGGCCAAACCGATTCTGGATTGGAGTTCTGGGAGAAAAGTTCTGGCCAAAAAATATAGTTTTTTGGGGCACACATCCGGAATTTACAACGGGGAATTGTTTTTTTAGCAAGCAAAGCGCGAAAAAAACGATTTTTTCTTAAATGTATGAGCAGGAGCCAAGATTTAAAACGGAAGACGCCCAAGCGCGACATTAGTCAGCCGCACCCTCATGCAAGCCCACAATTGCAGTAACATGGTCAATAGAAGTCAGCTTCGCCTATTTCCCTGGCCAATGTCAACACTCGCTAATGTGGGGGCGTGATTGCTAAAGGGGCCTGCGTGGAATTGATTAGATTGGAGCATTTCTTTGTTTTCTTTTTGTTGGTGGAACGGGTTTTGTGGCACTTGCCCGGGGCGTAGCCCCGGAAGGTGGCTTGTTGGTTGGTTGGGCGGCCACATCCCCAGCATCCCGGTTACTTGGTGTTAGGGCTGCCTAATGGCTGGGCTTGGTTGGTTGGACCGGCCTCGCGATCTAAGATCTACGCCCCCAAGGGTTCCCAGCCAACCTGTTTAGATGAGAGGGCTTGTGCTGAGCTGGGGCTAGTAAAAGGCAAATGGCAGAAACAAAATCAGATCTCAGCCAGTGAATTGGTTCAGTCTTCGTTTGTTGTGTACTGATTAGACTTGTATGGCTTAAGTATCACAGTATCTCTGATAATTTGCCATTGTTCGGATCCGTGGGGCCAGCACAAGCTTGAAGAAAAACTTATTGGTTTTGAGGTTCTGAGACATTTCAAGACTTAACGTTTTCTCACTTGCAACCAGTTTTTGTGGGGTTGGGTACCATTGTTGGCATTTTGGGTTGCTGAAAAAGATTTGTGGGGCAACTTTCTGTATTTGGTTTCCTTTGATCGGTCGGTTTGCATCAACTTGAGCGATGAGGCCGACAAGTGCCTAACGGGCGCCATCTACATGCTGCTGCTTGCAGTCACCTGGCCGAATCGCACAGCTTGGGAACTGGGAACGTGCATGTTGCCCGGCGGCCAGCTTGCAGACCAGGGACTGGTGGGCATTCTACGGATTGGCTCGTCAATCCAGGCCCTAGAGCCCTAAATCGCTCTAAAGCTTTTTGAAATCAAAGCTTGCAGAGTGAATATTCTCAGTACTCTGGGTGTTTTAATCTTCAATCTGCGCTCCATGGACCAAATCGCAGCAAAGCGCTTCAAAGCGTTTTTTGCCTTAGAGTTGGGATTGAATTTCCCTCTTTGAGTTCAATGCTAAATCTTGAATCCAAAAGCGCTTCAACGCCCTTGAGAGATCCTTCTTTTGCAAATGAACGGGTGGAAAAACGATGACATGTGAGAGGCCTGGGAGTGCAGACCATCAAAAACGGTCAGACTATCGTCAAGCAGGTGCTTGTCTTGTACCCAAACCCTCGAGCATTGCTGGACATCTTCCAAGCTTGCTTGCTGCTTGCCAAGCGCAGCGTTTCGGAGTTCACAGACAAATAAACGTGTTTATATATATATACACACGCTCATGCGCTGCTGCTTCAAATCCGCGTCAAGGCTGCCAATGGAAATCCGACTCAAGCAGAGGCTTGTAGGCCAGCTCGTTCTCACTCCATCAATGAGTTCACAGGCTACATGTGTGGCATGCCAGCTAGGATCATGCATTGGATACTGTTTCCTAGCAGTCGGCAAGATATCTAGCTGCCTTCAGGCCGGTAAGGCGCACCTTTGACGGGGCATTCCAATGTCAATATGAGTGCAACGGGTTTTGTGGTGCAGCTAGTTGGAACAAGCAAAGTCAGGCCATGTCTTCGCTAGACAAAAGGCCGTGTGTTAAGAAAATGGAAGATGAAACGCGAGAGGGCATTGGTCAGAGGTGCCCTTGCGCTTGGTGAACGTGCAGCTTCGCACCGTGCTGGCGGTGGGGGGGGTGGGTGGTCTGGCGGTGGGACTGGCGCTCCAGAACTTGGTGCAGAACCTCATCTCCGGGCACCTGGGCCTGGCACAGAACAGAACGGGGGTTTTAGGAGGTACCCTTGGAGGATACGAGGGAGTTCAATGTGGGTGTGGTGATTATTTTGTTTGAAGGTGCACCACTTTTTTGGGGGGTTTAAGAGAAACTAACAGGAAAACCACCATTTGTGGGGGTCCCTTAAACAGACAGACCCTTATTGTGTATGAGATAAGTGCTGGCCATAGATATTATTTGAGCTAGTTCACGCACCAGACAGAAACTTCATTTCGCTCGAGCTTGGGGCTGGTTTCCTCATCGGACTTTGACTTGGCAATGGGAGTTGCCGCAATGGGAGTTGCTGAATGTTTTTACGGCCTACCTTGAGGTCAGCTTGCTTTCTTGCAGTTCGGACTGTGGGGCTAGCTTGCTTGCGCAGGCATGTGAGTTGAATGGCCCAAGGATCCTCATCTACACAAATGCCACCATTTGCGAGGGCTTGGAGGTCGAGCTCCAGGATGTAAACCTGCAAGGGGTCATCAATGAAGCCGCTTGGCCTCCTGGGACTTGATCTCGCAGGAGAAACCGATCGCGCACGCGACCGGATGTCGATGCACAGGTTGGTTGGTTCAACACCACCGTCAACGGCTACGGAGGAGCCAGGGTGACGGTCCCGAACCGGCGCATACTGGATGGCACTGTGGTCGACAAGACGAATAAGCGCTACCGGGTTTGCCAGGCAAAGTTAGCCGCTGGAACGTTAAGCAGGATTCAGCTGGAGCACGAGCTGTTCGTGTGTGTGTGTGTGTGTCCATATGTGCTTGTTGTTTCGATGCTGCTGGACCTTTGGCAGTGAATTCTCAGGTAGTCGTCTTTGAGGATCCTGGAAAGCTGGAAGCACTGGTGCCATGATGGCAATTATGAGCTAGCTCTTCAGCTGCTTGTTGAGTCGCTGGCCTCGTGCTCGCCGACTTGTTTGGAACCAAACTACTGTGTGTGTGTGTGCTACTTGCGGTTTGCGCTGAGGTGAATGCAGTGGAGAAGGACCTCCGGAACAATCCCAACGTGCTTCAGTCATCCTCTGCCACCACCCTAGCTCCAGCTGTAAAGTTTGACTACTGGTTCATTGCAGATGGAGGCATGTCCCAGCAAAGGTGCTGCAGATACGCATGGTCAACAGAGGCCGGGATGCCAATGCAATGTTTTGGGGGTTTGCCCCCCCACTTCCGCCCCCCCTTCCCCAATGACTCCATGGCCGAAGGTGGGTGGGGCGGCGCTGGGGGTGTTCCTGGTTTAGTACGCAGTTGCTTCCAGAGATCCATACACCGCGAGAAAGCAGTATGTCCTCGCTTGCTGGGGAGGCTTTCGGCTTGGCACAGATGGCCTCACCAGACTCTGGCCTTGAGTACATTGCTCTATATCGGACACTGTGTTTTCTGAATAGGTCCTGGGAAACACGAGGCCATCATCCGGGCTTTGTAGCCATGTAGCGGTCCTGATTCCGTGGTACACTTTGCAGCAGATTCTCTGCTCGGCGCTTCTAGAAGTTCATCTCCCGGGTTCTTTGCATGGACCGTGCTGGCTTGATCTCGCTTGGCTCACGAATTGCGCAGCAACAGAATGTATGCTGGAAGGAAGAGCTGCATGCCGGTTTGGAACACGTTCTGGTGCACCCCTCTTAGAGTTAACATACTCTCTACACATAGCCGTGGGTGGGCAGGGGGGCTGTGACGCTTGCGGCAGGCCACATCAAGATCTATGAGCCGCAGTTCTGCTTGACGGGATGGTTGGGGGCCAGGCTAAAGCTGTCAAGCCAGGTGAAACAGCGATGCTCTCCTCAGCCGTGTGATTTGAAGGCCTGCCATGGAAATTATAGGAAATAGCCTTTGAAAGGCATTCCCCCCCAGATTTGAGTGTCTCCGTTGAGCTCTTGTTGCACCTTGTGGGCGCGCAGCTCGCCTTTTTCAGGTCACCATATGGTGCGAACTTCTTCCTACGGGCATACATGGACAAATCCTTGCAGGCGGGAAGCTGGGAAGCTGGGGAAAGCTGGGAAGCTGGGAAGCTCGCCGGGAAGCTCGCCGGGAAGCTCGCCGGGCTTGCGCACTTGGCAGGGGGATGTCTTCTTGAAGTACCAGAGCAAGCTCATGATCGATGTGTGCCTTGGGGTCTAGCTGCAGATGCCACGCTGGAAGCCAAGAAGCCGCACTCAACTTTGAGCGCGGAACCAAGGACCACCAGGATCAAGCAGTTTGGAGGGCGACTAGGCTCACCACACCACCACTTGCGTGTTCAGCTGCACGCGTTTAGCCGCATGCCCCGAAAGATGCGTGTTCTACTTGGGATGGTTTTGGTCCGACGGCCAAGTTTTTTCAGCGCAGGTGGCCCCTTCCTGCCGCTGCCTCCAGAAGCGACGCTCGCAAAGCCTGAAGCCAGCGAGAAGTGACGAGCATGCCAATGCCAACTCGAAATTAGCGCGCATGGGCTGGGTGATTCCTGCGAAGAATCGATGTGATGTGGTGATGGACCTATGGTTGTGGGAGTTGCGCTTCTACATGGCCTGCAGGATGCGCCTGAGGGGGATGCCTTTTCGCCAGCTGCGTAGCGGCGAAGCCCGAAGCCCTTGCTTTTTTTGCAAGGCTGCCAGGTGCCAATGCTCCTGATGCGTGCGCGCAGGAAGAAAACGAGTCAATCAGATCTTTGGAGACCGTCATTTTTTTGGTATCCCCCATTTGCAATCCTCAAGCTTGCTGCCGGGGCAAGTTGCAATTGTGTCGGGCATGGGCAACTTGGAACGATGTACTGTGCCCAGAAGACTGCCGAGTGCAGGAGGAGGATGCCCGAGTTCTGGCGAAGAGGCCTGACCTTTGCTTCATGGATGGCTTGGTGTCGTTCTTCTCTTTGGCACCTGGCCATGGTGCAAGGCAAATGGTACCATTTTGGGATAGGTGCACCACCCATTGTAGTTTGTTTTAGTGGGGATTGGGATGTTCACTGAGGGTACGAGTTTTTGACCCATGGCCACCTCAGCCAAAAGCATCGGTTCACGACTGGAGAGCTAGCATGTTTGCACTGGCTTGGGACGGCCCAGAAGAAACGGGGTATCTTGCCAGCGAATTGAATTTTGCTGGCCAGGCAAGCCATGGCACTGCTGTCAAAGCAGCCAGTGTGCAGGCGAAGTCAACTACTCCCCCCGCTACACCCAACATGAAAAAATCATCGATTCTATGCAGAGAGAAGTACATGCAATATTGCATCCTGGAGGGGATTCACTTGTGTTTTGACCGCGCCGCAGCATTGTGTCACCATGTTGGCTCGTCTCGGTTTGAACAATTTCAATCATGGGTTTGTGCGGAATGTTCGCCAGACAACTGACAAAGGGCTGACATCCGAGTGAGACGCCTCACAAGGGTTGTGGAGCATATTTGGCAACGGGCGTCCCATGGGTTTGGCATGTTCTGCACTGTCTTGACGGACTTCCTGGTCACGCTGCATCCCATGCCACTTTTGCTTGACTTTCTGTGCAGGGTGTATGAACGCCCTGCTTCCGGATGTGAGTCCATGCAGAAGCATGCCAACTTTGTTAGCAGACTTTCGCAACCAGTCCAAGACTTGACAGCGCTTTCCATTTGGCAGTGGGTCAAAAATATGTGCCCAACGTTGAGCCCTGCCAAATGGAACCAAGCACTCAAACGCGCGGTTTCCTGGCTGCTTAATTTTGACCCGTACAAATTTCGGCCATCCAAATCGGTTGCCAAAAGGACCAGGGGGGCATTTGCCGTTTGGTCGTCCATGACGCAGGGCGAGGCGCTCCGGTCGCTTTGCGCGGTGGACGTGGATCCAGCCTTGGGGTTGGCTTGAAGGTTTCCCCCCGGCCAAATTTGCTGGTCCAGAGCAAGGCCTTTTGGGCTTTTAAGTTTCCCGATAATTTTGTTGCGGGGGGTCTTTCATGGCCCTTCCTGTTGGCCAGCAATATCCAGCAATCCATTCACGTACCTGTCATTTCTCTCCTGACCTTTGGTTTCCAGTTCTAACTTCCACATGCACGCAGTAGGGCTTCGCAAGTTGTGGCTCCCGTCCGGTCACAAAGAGGTAGCCCGCAGGTCGCGGGTCGGGAATGGGCATTTGCTTGGCCCTCCGAAACCTGAAGGCTGGAACCTTCACTGATGAAGAGGGTGCCGGGTGGGGGCCTTGCAAGATGCACATCCTTGAAGCGTGTGCAGGCGTTGGCTGGCATGTCTGGGATGTATACACCGGCCAAAAGGAATGTGTTTGGACAGCTTTTGAACTGTTGACGCATTCAGCCCGCGGTTTCCGCTTCAGCTGCGTCCATTTGAACTCTTTGGTTCCTTGTCTTTTTTCCGAGTCCTTGCGGAGCAGGAGGCGCGGACGGGCAAGAAGGGGCCCTTGGATTCACAGCCAAGGTACCTTCGGAAGCGCTCCATTTGGTTCCATGGGCATGTCTCCCTTCTCTTGTTCTGGTTCTTAGTGCTTCAAGTTGACTATGGACGGCGGCTTTGTGCCTTGGGTTAGCGCTCTGTGGAGCGAGTGCTTGGGAAATGGGGGTTGCGCCCATGGCTTTTGATAAAGGGGGATGTCGGGTATGTCCCAAAATTAGGGACGCGTTGCCCAGCAGCCAGATGGGATGTCTTCCTAATTGTGAGACGCCTTTTTGTTGGCAGGGCTTTAAGACAACCGGTAGACGAGAAGTAGGCCACCGCAGAAGGTTGGCATTTATATTTCTATTTCCTGTCTGCCGAACAGGCAAAAGGAAGGGCTGCAGGCGACTGGTCTTCATCAGGAATTGGGCCTGGCTTCCTCCCATGTGCAGGAAGCCAGGCCCTACACCTGCTTTTCTGCATGCGCGGCAGAACTGGTGCGCCAGGGCGCGGAACAGGCAGAAGTAAAGTGCGAGCAGACAACCACTCCGAAGGAAGAGTTCGGACAAAGGCCAGCGAAGTTGCCATGTACCTTTGCAGCGCGTGTCATGAGTGACAACAAGCTTTCAGCAGGTTGTTCGTGTGTGTGTGTGTGGGTGTGTGTGTGTGCGCGCAAGCTTAGACTGCTTGCAGGCATGTGGGGAAAAACGGCTCGCTTCCGCTGGAGTCTGTTCATGAGCAATTGGAGAGGCGCGGCAGGGACATTTTACAATAGACAAATTGCTGTGATAGATGTGAGCGGCGTGGGGGTTCCCAATTTCTTTCACAATGTTTCAAGTGCCATTTCTTTCACAATAATTCTCCTTTGCCAGTCCATTCCGGTGCAGAATCAAACCTACTTTGCTGGAAGCTGTCTGGCCCATGTACATGCTTGGAACTCGCTTATTCCCAAGATCTCTGGGCTGCTTGCAGCTGATCCCCGCAGGCAAGCGGCCTGCCGCAGCATCGCCGAGGCGAGGCTGGAACGGGCGGGTGTGGCTCCCAGGCCTTTGGCCTCGTTCAGGTGCTGGCTGAGAAGCTTGGCTGCCGGAGCCTGAGGATCTGAGCGCAGGAAGCCAAGGCGCAAAGCCGAGCTGAGAAAAGAAGCGCAACTCCACAAATTGAACAGAGGCATCATGGGCCCTTTGGAATACATCTACTTGTTGACATGTAAATGTCGTATTGGAAGGAAACACTCTCCCCCAACATGAGATTCCCCTCAAAACAGTGACTAACACCCATGCTTATTGTTCTTAGTTGGCAGCTTGGCTCTGAGACTTGGTGCTTGCCATTTTTGAGGGCCCCCCCCTGGCAAGTGGTGGGCTGACGCCCACAGGATTGGTTGCTTTTTTGAACGGTCTTGCTTGACGAATCCATCCTGCGCCGTGATTCTGCTAACGTGCGATTCGTCCCTGGCGTACCTGATTTCCCTGACGACGTCGGGCCTGGAACGAAATACTCATGGCGCGCTTTTGCCGCGCAAAACTCTCCCGGCTGCAAGCTTGCGGAAGCACGAGACACCGTAGCACTGTGCGCACCATGCTGAGCTGCAGGCCACGTCGGTTCCGCGTCGCATGTTGCGGTACCTCAGACTCCTCCAATCCAGCGTGCATCTGGCCAATCCGGCTTCAGAGGATTTAGAGGAGCAGCCAGGCCTCCGAATTTCCATTTCTGTCTATTTGACGCGCCAACCCAGCAGCCCAGGCACAGCCCCTTCGGCCTTGGAGGATCGCTTGCTGGCGAAGGACGGGCTAGCGTCAATAAATTCAAGCCAGTTGTAGGTGTCAGGATCTAGCGGGAACTCGGGATGCACTAGCAAGATTTGGATTTTGCTTTGGAGGTGGCAGCCTCGGATTCATTGACCGAGATTCTGCCAGCATATGTGGTTTCCGCACCGTAGACTCCTTTCTTTCGCATTCCAAACGGATGTTAAAAGGCTCAACATATCCACAACGCAAGTGTCCTGTCCCAAGAATGCTTCTTTTTTTGCGTTTCAGGTGGGTATGCGAGCTTCCGACCCTTTGGCATGTTGAAACTGCAGGTGGCGGATACGCTTCGTTGCATCTCACGTTCGCAGTACTGATTCCTGCATGCGATTCTCAGGAGGCCGAAGTGGCGAGCTTGCAGCAGGAGGCGCCTGCTTTGCAGCGGTTGGCGTGAAGCCATCTTAGCTGGGGACGCACCCAGCACATGTGTGGTTTGTTTGTTTGTTTGTTTGTTTGTTTGTTTGTTTGTTTGTTTGTTTGTTTGTTCGTTTGTGTGTTTTTCTTTGATTGCTTGGTTTGGTTTGTTTGTTTTGTTTTGTTTGTTTTCGATAGGCCGGATCGCTCAGATGTGCCACGAGCCCTGGCCGGGCGGCGAAAGTGTTCCAGCTGGCAGGTTCTCAGCTTGCGAGCAGAAAAGGAGCAGCTGGAGTCCGCCTTGGAGGCGTTGATTCCACCCGATCAGAGCGCAACTTTCGAATTGGCAGTCACTTGCTGGTGCGATAAGTTGGGAATGAGGGAATGAACCCAGGGGTCCACTGAAAGGAAACCACAAGTCGATGGTTTATAGGGGTCATTCCCTCATTCTGAGCGCCAGCAAGATCACACACGGACTGGCAGGCAAGCGTCTGAAAGGACAGATGTTTTAGCCAACTCCAAAAAGCCAAAGAACGGACTTCCTCTTGAGTTGTCCGGCTGCGCTAGGGATGCGGAATGCCAGACAGCGGAACCTTGCTGCATCTCTTTGTGTCGCCCCAGGCAGCCGAGCAGCGCATCGATGAGCTGGCTGCGGGCTTTGAATCATTGAAGACTGATGCCTTCGCGGGTCGTCATGCCCTAATTACCCTACCCCTTGGCAAACTAGTTGCGGTCAGTTGGCTGCCCGAGCAGCAGCCCCGACCTTGAGTCAAGGAAGTTTGCACGTCGCTCGCATGGCGTTCTCTGCGTGTCACAAAGGGGCTGGAATACCCCCACTCCCTTAAGAATGGAATTGGGGGAGGGGGTGAACCCTGGAGTTCCGTTTATGGTTCCATTTTCCCTTCATGCGGAATAACAAACGGACTTGGGGGACCCCCACCCCGCCCTTAAGGTGGGGGGGATGCTGGACTATAGCTGCTGCTTCCCAGGCCGCAGGCGCCAAAGTTGCGCCGCCGCCCAAAGAGTCCTCGGCGCCGGCTGCCCACTCCGTGCCTGGGACAGACACAGGGCGGCCGGGAAGGTCCATCTTCGCCGGTTCAGAATGAGAATGCAAACGGAGACATTGGGGAGCATCATCTTAAAGGGAGTGGAAATGGAAGGCGGGGCAGCCTTCCTTTTATAGATATAGATGTATCATTTTAATGATCCCATCACCCCTAGCCAGGCTCCCGTGCATGTACAAGTACGCCAGTGCTCGGGGGACAACAACCCATTCCTGACCATTGTTGGGATGGTTTTGAGAGTCTTGTAGATGTCGACATACACGAAGGGGCAGCAACAAACTGTTGCTTTCAAGCAAAGATTTATGTTACATATTCCCCAGAAGCCATCCGGAAGGGTGTGGCACGTTGGCACCTGCAAGCTGCGGAGACGGAGGTGGTGTGAGCTTTGCCGAGGTCCCAAAAGCCCAGTTGTGATTGAAAGTGTTCGCTGAGTGTTACTTGTGTTGGAGGGTTGCCTGGTTCTTGAAACCAAGAGGTCCATGTCATGCAAGCAGGCTCTCTCCGCACACAGCTTTGTTATTATGACCCTCCCTCTGAACAGAAGTCCTACACATGTCAACCCCATTGAATTTGACTGATGCCTCATGCTGGCATGGTTGTGCCTTGGGGTAAGCTGCCTATGGAGCACTTGTTGGCTTGCAGGTTCTTTGCATGTCCCTCCCCAGGTGCCTCAGGTGCCCCAGCCCAAAGCGGCAGAAGGCAGAGCCTCAGGCAGGGCGAAGATCCAGGGAAACCGGTTGGAGTGGGGCTAGTTGGAGTGAGGCTGACGGCCTCAGCCATCCTCCTTGTGCTTCTCAATTGAGTAGATCAGCCAAGAAGAAAAACTAGCAGGCCCCCGCCAGCCCACCTTGGGAGGACTGAGCGAAGGGCCCAAGCAGCAGGCAGGGGCGTGAAACCGTCGGCCTGGCACTCTGAGCGCCCAGAATGTCATGTGCAAAGGAGTTTAGAGGAAGCTGCCTCCAGGTAAAGCACATAGGCCGTGATGCGCAGAGATCATATCCCCAAATGCCAATCTTGGTAGCCCAAAATGAGCTTGTGTTAGAGGACCGCATTTCGCATGCCAAAAAATGGTCTTTTTGGTCAGAGGGGACCCTCACTAGCTTGCAATTTGCATGTCATGGCCATTTGGACCGATCGATATCAGGTTGGAGGGTCGGAACCCTCGTGCCAGGTTGCTGCCCTTCGACAAGAACGCCTGGAGGCTTTGAGCTCGGCATGCGGTGGAGTCGCCACACGTGGGGGCTGCGTGGGCGTGGCAAATATGCATGCATGTAAGTAACATAATAATGTATCAATACCGACAATAAAGAAAACATACTACATATATATATATATATGCTGGCTCTGAAGGGAATGGCAAGAAGAACATAGAAGAACAGACACGCTGCATGTTGATGTGCTGGTTGCCACAAGCCTTTGCCAAATTGCGGCAGACATTGCAGCGCATGCCACGTGGGGTTTCCACTTGGCAGGGCATACAGTCCAGCACCATGCGGGAGATGTTCCTGGGATGTGTGGAGCTGCCAAGCTCTTAGCCAGGATGTCCAGGCATGCCATTCGGCCAGGGAGCTCCCAGGTTCCCCAGCTTCCCCAGCTTCCCCAAGTTCCCTAAGTTTCCTAGCTTCCCTAGCTTCCCTAGGAACCAGCATGGGTTAGCTCTTGCCTTGCCCGCTTCGACCCATCGCAGCAGGTTGGCTGCGGACATCTATGCCTCCCGGGCCCACTTTGTGTTGGAGTTGCTGCAGAATGCCGACGACAACGAGTACGCTGCAGGTGGCGGCAAAAGCTTGCGGCGACTTTTGGACGTTCGGCCGACTTTTGCGGAAAAAGCCTTCGGCGGCGACTTTTGGCAGACTTTTGGCGATTCAGTTTGACGAAGGGCCAAGTGAAGCAGCAAGAAACAGCAGAGATGGAACCAGTGTTGAAGGAAATCAGCTGGGTCATCAAAACCTCCACATGAGCATGCCATGTACTACCACTTGGAATGGGATGCTCTGCAAGGGAATCCTATGTTGCTTGAGGCAAGCATCAGGGTGCAGGCATTTGTTTTGAAGTCATGACTGCGAGGAGTGAACCCGACAGCCCGCTTTATTTGCAAGGCTGGCTGCAGGGACTTGTTTGAAGTCAGTTAGGTGCTTCTGCCAGTTCTGCTTCAGAAGCGGAGATGTGGCACGTGCATTCCTATTAAGGTCCAAATCAGCTTCTGGTGAACCGACAGTACTTGTGTTTTGCGAGCTTGGGACACGGCAAGCAGGCAAGATACTGCCATTTGGAACATCAACCCAAAACACAAAGGTTCAGAATACGTGTCAGAATGTGTCAGCCAATTTCGGGATGCTTGACAGATAAGCCACCAAAGCCTGAGAGCAGTTCTTCAAATGCATTTCTTTGTTCATGCCCTCGGCGTGGCTGGTTCTTGCATTCGAGTGTTGCATTTCTCCCGCACAAGTTTAGAAGGAAGACCTGGGCATTGCCCCTGTAGGCGGGGGCCACACCCTACATCGCCGTGGTCAACAACGAAGTTGGCCTCACGGTGCGCAGAGGGCGGTTGACGCGGTGGTTCAATCATCAAACGCGGCTGTGGCACTCCCTCACCGTTTCTTGCTTGAACTCAGGTCAAATTTGCATTGGAGTGGGGTAATGCTGACCCCATATTCATCAACCCCAGCTTTTTTGTTTATCAATATGGGCGGGGGCCCCTCCAAAAGTGGTCTGATTCCCTACAAAACCCAGGGAAAAGCACCCCTACTGTGGATGGACTAAATCCTTCACCACTTGGAAACCATGGTAAACCCTTGTTCGTTCGTATTTAGAGGGGATTCTTAGGTGGTGCGAAATGGATTTCGCAACCATCCACAGTATCAATAAACTGAAGCAACTTATGCCAATCCTTCTGAGCCGGGGGCTGGAATCTGGGAACCTGGCTGTCGGGCTTGGCAGGCACAGGACCTGGCCGGCATGTGCGCCATCTCCAAGTCAGCCAAGAAGGACAAGGCTCGGATCCCGCAGATCGCCCACGCAGTTCACTCCTCCAGAATGGCCTGTTGATGTTGCGTTTGCCCTTCACATGTGCAATGACAGGGGTATGCTATGCAGTTGTTTTAGGAATAGTGCTGCATGATGTTTCGCTTGTTTGACCTCTTTCGCGCAAACTGTTTGGCTCGCCTGAGATGGTGCGCCCACTTTGTGTCGCGGGTGCGGCCACTACGGTGCGGCCAGGCAGACCGCACAGGCCGCAAAGGCATCGGCTTCAAGAGCGTGTTTGCAGCCGGAGCCTCTTGGGACTGCCGGATGTCAAAGCAGAGCCATGAGAAAACACATGCCGGGCGGTGCAGTGTTGCAAACATCAACTACTGTAGCAAGCATGCGGGGTTCATTCAATTCAGTTTGACTCTTGACTCTTGTTCCAACTTGTTAAATTTCATCGGCCATCCACTTTCACAGACAAGCTTTGTACCTTTATGCCATCGGGCAGACGTTGCCTTGTGCCCAGGTTTCTTGCTGTCCTCATGTCCTCAGCCGCGCCGGACTTATGCTCACGCATAGGTTCCGAGGCCTGACGGCCATCCCGTGCCCGAGTTTTGATGCCCATCCCGTAGACCTTTGCAGATTTGACGAGGATAAGGCCCGCATCAAGGCTCTCAGAGTCTCAGGCTTCAGGTGCACGCTGGGAGTGACCTTCCTGCAATCGAAGCCCACCATCCCAGGGAGGTGTCTTGGGACCTGCCAACCGGCTCGCCAAAAAAAAGTATCGCTTCCATCTAAGGCTCCTACACCTTCAAGTTTGACGTGCGCAATGACCGCATGGACTGCCCCTCAGGTGTATGCACGCCTGGCGCTGGTTCAAGCCGTGTCAGAAAAAATGGTATCAAGAGGCCAAGATGTGTTTGAGCCGTCAGCTCTCAGTTTTGAAACACATGGGCTTCTGCCAACTGGCGTAGTTGAAACCCCATTGCTCGGCTGGACTTTCAGGGCTACGTCACTCCCAGCTGGCTGGAAGAGGAGGAAAGTTGCCGTTGGCTGGACGCCAGGTGTTTTGCCACAAAAGCTGCAAAATATGAAGTTTGATGTGCTGCTTGCGGCAGAGGGAGTGCCTCTCTCGTAAACAGTTGCCAGGTCGTCTTGCCAAGAACGTACTTGCCCACAACGGCATGTCAAAAAGTAAGATCCGGCGTCAACCTGCCTCACTGGAACTAGCTCAAACATAGCGTGCGGCAGCGAGCTGACATGCAGGCCATGCCTGAAGGAAGCTGCTGTCAGGGCGAAACCTGGGTGACTTCAGGCACAGCCAATTCGGCGCAGGAGCTTCGGGATCTGCCGGCCGAACTGCTACAGCAGCACCAGGACGCGAATCGACCTGGAATCACCTGGCTGAAATTTCTCGGGCCTGGTTTTCCCATGGCCATGAGGGGGTCTGGCTTCGGTTTCCCTCCCCCAGCTCCACTGGAAGGGCCGGAGGCCTTCGTCTCAGTGGTCGGCGCGAGCTCATCTGTTTTTTTTTTCGGTCATGCGTGTTTGAGGGGTTGTGCAGGAAGGCCTGACGGTAATCTACCTCCCCTTGGGCGAGTCCGCGCAGGCAATTCCCCATGGCATTTCAAATACTCGTCTTGATGTGGGTGATGGCAGTCGTGACGTGGCTGTGGGTCAAAAATAGGTACCCAAAATGAAACCCTGGTAAATGAAACCAAGGACTAAAACCTGCGGTCCCTGGTGGTTGCATTTTGACCCACAGCCACATGGCCAGAGCCCAGTGTTCCTCCTCAATTGCAGGCTTTGCTGAGTGAGGTGGAGGGCCACTTGGAGGTTGGAGCCTTTCGAAGCAGCGTTACCGTGCTTGCTGCATGGTCGAGCTCAGATGAAAAAAAGACGTCATGCACTAACAAAAAATATCGCAACATGGTTCTGAGCCAGCCGTGTTGCATCGCAAGCCTTCAACATGCGCAATATAGGTGTGGCTCAAAATTAAACAGGAGGGGCAAACCGCGGGTTTCGGTCCATGTTTCCACTTACCAGGGTTCCATTTTGGGATCCCGTTTTTTTTGAGCCACAGCCGTATGTTTCGCTGCCTTGTTCCTGAAGGATGTTTTTGCCGCAGGGGTGCCCAAGCTGTCCAAAGGCACTGGATCCTGCAACCCTGCTCTTCATGCTGGCGGCTTGGAGCGCCAGTGCCGGCTGCATGCTTGAGAAAGGATGAAGACCTCAGCTGGAGTCGCTGCTTTCCGGAATTCCTGCGTAGTTGCTGATGTCCAGGGCACGTTGAACATCAAGGGCATTGTTGGGAGTAATCAGAAAATATTGGAATGACTTAAAATGACAGCAACCCTCATTTGACCGCAGATTCATGAAGCGCATCATTTGCCGCAAGTCGGATGTTTCGAGTGCGACTCAAGGCGCCGCTTGAAGCGCATTGAGTTCCAAAGGGCCTGGTGCCCAAACTGGGGGCCACAGTGGGTCTATGAGCTCCAGACTTTTTTCCGGTTGCAAAGAAAAGTTTGACTTGCCAAAGCCCAAGGGAGCAACTTGCAATCGTTTTTTTCTTTGTGGATTGCTGTTACCTGAGCCACTTGCTCAAAACTCGGGTAGATGAAGGTTAGCAAGGGACAATCCCCTTGTCATAAATAGGTGTGGCCGCCTTCTTAGTTCTTTACACGGTTCTGTGTAGACCCATGTTAATACCTGGTTTTGACTATGACTCACCTGCGCAGACCTCTCCTTGCCGCCCAGGCAGATGGTAGGAGCTCGCGCGTCCACATAGAGGCCAGCCTGTGCCGTGCAGCGCCTGAATCAACGCAGAGCATCGGCCCCGCATCGCGCCCTTGCACAGGGTCCTGGTGGGATGAGAAACAGTTGCCTTCCACCTTGTACGTATGTGTACGTTTAACTTGGATAGCAGATTCAACGCTATGCCTCTTCTTATTTTCGTGCCTATATTTGCATCATTTGGTATATGCGCCTTGCACAGCTGTGGCCCCTCTTCGTCGTGTCTGCGCCAATTGGGTGTGTCTCAAAATGAAACAACTGGGGCAAACCGCAGGTTGTCTTTGGTTCCATTTGCCAAGCGTGCCATTTCGGTATGAATTTTTGACCCACAGCCATTTGGTCATGGTTCAAAAACCAATGGGATCCCATTTTGGGATAGGCGCACCACCCATTTTAGAGCCTACTTTAGTGGTTGGATTGAACCGGATGTTCACTGGATAAGAACCGGGCCACGGGGGTTTTAGAGGAACTCCACGGGGGTTTAAGGGTTCTGACTCACAGCCATCGGTCTTCGGCATCTTCGCTGAGCACCGCTTCGTTGCGCCAGGCCAGGGCAGGCGACGGCCTGCAGAGGGAGGTGGTGTCCTCGCAGGTCGGCTGGTTTCGAAAGCTCCAAATACCCAGCTGCGAAAACTCAGTGTTTTTTTTTTGTCCGGAAGACCCATCGGTTTTCCATGGCAAATAGTTGTTTTTTTTTTTGTTTTTTTGGGGGGGTATGTTTGGGAAAACCGATAAGAATTCCATGGTAAAAACCTCCAACGTTTTAGTAAAGGGTTGACATGACACCCCGCGAGTACCCAAGTGGGTGTTTCGTCGTGTATTTTTTTACAGCTTACCCGGATCCCCAGTGCCTTTATGTTTCAGCTGCTTGGGGTAAAGTGGCTGGCAAAAAGGGCAGCTAATTACTTGGGGTTCCAGAAAAATCGTGCACCAAAGGTTCGAAAGCCTCGTTTGCGCTTCGAGAAAGTGAGACAGGCCTCCCGTCCCAAAGAAAGTGTTTCAGGCTCCGGAGGGCAACAGGCAGGGTGGGCCCATCGGGTGGGAGGCGCATTGTGTGGTCAGACTCCACACTTCTTTTGCTGTCCGTGCGGCGAGATGTGCGCTTGGAGTGTCCTCGCGTTTTGCCGTTTTGCAGCTAGACCTGCGAGGGTTCACGTGGGCGCGCTGCCCCGCCAGGACCTACGAATTCTTCGTGGGGCGTCGCATGTCCAGCTGGAGGCTTAAGCGGCAACTGGCACGACGGAACATTGTGCTTCATGCGCGAAAGGCCCGGCAAGAACTTCAGAATGCAAGCAACCGGCGGGCTGGATCTAGGTCAGTCACTGCGTGACAATCTCTGAAGTTGCTTGCTCATGCACTGGCGCAAAACGGGTTTCTGCAATCAGTCAAGGCAGCTTCCGTAGTTGAAAGTGCCTAGGCTTACTGCAGGGGTGCATGTTTCCATCTCGAAGTTGAGGAGTCCATCTCGAAGTTGAGTGTTGTGCTTTTGGGAGAGGGTTGTCGATTCGCTGAGGTGATCAGCACGGAAGAAGTCGGCCTTTGGCTGTCGTGCATCGCTGAGGGACAGCCATGTGGCCACGCAGGCAGATGTTGCAATTTGGGGTAGATGCAAGCAATTCTGCAAGCGCAATGGCCAGAACAAGGTAAACATCAAAGAGGAGGTGAAAGCCATACTGATGCGTGCCATCATGTTGACCGGATTCGCATGTTCAGCCTGGGACTTGCCCTTGCGATGTGTCTAGCCCAACCCAAAACCAGCCAACCCCGGGCTTCAGGGGCGTTCCTTGAGTTCCCGAGGCCTTGCCGCTGCCCGAGCCACAGCCGGCGCCAAGCTCAGGGCACCCGGTGCTCGTCTCGCGCCTCCCATGCCGGCCGCCGGCGGATACTTGCAGCCGCTCGCGGCGGAGAAAGTCGGCGTCTGCGAAGTCCCATCAAGGCCTTTCCAGTCCAGCTTCCATGCCACTGGGCATGGCCCAGAGACTCAAACTCAATTTGTCGCCACACTAGTCACTCAGTCTGAGGGCTCTGATTTGGAGAGCGCCAGCTTGGACCGGGGTCAATGAAATGACGGGGAACTTCTTGACGAACATCGGCGCCGTGCCTTTGAGGCGCGCGCCTTCGCGACCTTGCCGCAGGGAGCCGCAGGTGGATTTGTTTGTGACACGGTGGGTAGGCAAAAGTAACTCAGGTAGCACCGAATTGGTGGTTTGGATTGGTGGTTTGGGGAGGTGAACCCTTGGTTCTGGTTGAGAGCAAATGGGGAACCATCACTGCCCACTAAACAAAGCACCAGTTAGAGGGAATTTCTTAACTGTGATCAGGATAATTAATTAAGCTCATGCTTAGCCACAAGTTGAGCAAACATCGGCGAAATGTGCAAACTGTGCACGTCAAGAAATGCAATGACTCCATCCGCTCCATCAGTCATGTGCATGGCCACTGAGGCTTTGCCACACCGGCCTGGGTGTGTGCATAAATGCACCTTGGTAGAAAATGCTCGTGTGTTTCGTGCTGCATGTGTCATGGCCTCCTGGATTGTGACACTTTGCTGGCCTCCCACCCACGACGCTGTGCAAGGCAGATTGGGACGTATCAGCCGGGCACCCGGTGCAGTCGCTCATTGTGCTCATAGGATGGGGAGGGTTTGGCACAGAAAGGCACCAAGGGCAAAGATTGTTGCACCCCAAAGGGTCTGGCAAGCTGACATTGCGAATTCTGGGGCTGCCCACCCAACTCGAGTTGTCAAGCCACCCTTGCTCTGCCAAAGGATTCTTTTGCGTAGGCCTCCCGCGATGGGGTCCACGAAAACAAGCACAACGAGCAGCTCGCGCTTGAGACTGCCCAGGCGGATCCCGTGGCTCTGTTCGTGCATGTGCAGGGATGGTTGTGTGTTTTTGGTTGATGTGTGTGTACGCCTTTGTTTTGCTTTTGTGTTTTTGTGTTGTTGTGTTTTTTGTTTGATTGTTTGTTTGCGCGTTGGTTGGCGGAGCCTTATTGAGTCATTCGCGAATCGCCATCAGAACAGCTGCTCTGGGCAGGGTGCACGCTGATGTTTTCGTTCGCCGCATGAGAGAGATTGTGCGTTGAATGAGCTGTTTCTGTTTCGCTGGCACTGTCATACATGCGGTACTTTTGCGCGGTTGCCTTGCTGTGATCAGCTGTTGGGTTGGGCTATGGTGTGCCCAAGTTTCTCGTACTGGGCACACGTGCAATGGCCATTGCCATAATTGAACACATCGCCACTTTAGAGAACTGCGGCTGCGACATATGGCTGTGGGTCAAAACCAATGGGACCATTTTTGGGCGGCACCACCCATTTTAGTCTATTTTAGTGGGGATTGGGATGTTCACGGGGGTAATGAGGATTTTGACCCATGGCCATATTTACATGTACTTCCTGCATGACCTAAACCCAACAGTTGATACCCTCCCACCAACGGAACCTGACGTAAAAGAGGGGGTACCTAAGGCCTTCGCGGAGATAGTGAAGGAGCTTGGCATGCGCCTGCCACTGGGCAGATGGAGGGCGGTCTTAATTTGAGCCAACCAGAAATCGCTGCGGATATCCGCCTTCTTAAGTCTTTGCATGGTTCTGGGTAGACCAATTTACCGGGTTTTGATTCTGACTCAATTGAACATTGATGGCTATAAGAATGTTTGAGGGCAGCAACTGCTGCTGTGGATGGTAGCGAAATCCGGACCTCGCACCTAAGAAATCCTGGTGTTTGACTCGAATCCCTGTAAATACCGGCAAACACTGGTTTTCCATAGGTTCCAAGTGGTGCAGGATTGTGCCCATCCACAGTATGTCATTGCTTTGGGGCCCATTCGGCTGAGTTGTGATGCTGGGCAACCTCGCCGCAGCCACGTTAGAGTGCTTTCTGAATCCGCCAGTGAATTTGCGGATTGGTCATCCTAAAGGACCACAAAATGTTCCGTCGTTAAATGATTTTTGGCATCAATGTAAAGACGAAGACGAAGCCACCTGAGCCCAGGCCGGCTTCCCCGGTGGACTATCTTGGCGACCGCCCGCCCCTGTCGCGTGGGTGCCTGAGGACATGACGCACCCAGATCCAACATTGTCCCGCATGGCCCAGGATTTTGGCGCAAGGTGAGGGAGAGGCCCGGCGAGTCATCGGGTGGGGGGAAGGTAGCTGCAGCGTTCAAGGCCGGAGGATGCTGTTCAAGGCCCATCTTCCACTCCCACTCCAGGTAGAAGCTGCCTTTCCAGGTGTTGATGCCTTTGCAGGTAAGCCTGCAACATACTTTATATATATATATATATATTTATATTTATTTATTTGCGTTTTTCTTCTCCTCCTCATCACAGTGGTGACAAACAAAGCACTTTCACTCATGCAGTATATAGGTGGCCTGGCACAATGTTCTGCATTGATTAGCGCAAGCGGGGTGCAACAGAAACACGGCTAAATGTCAGCGATCCTGAGGCATTGACAGTGTTTTGGCAGGACATCTTAACAGGTCGGCGTGACCAACAGTAAAACATCTGGATTGGACAAACATGCTGTCATTCACTGCATGGCGTGCAGTCGCATGCGACTGGAGGAGTTTCACAGGCGCAGACAGTGTTCAAGACCCAATGCGACAGACATGCCACGACTAGGATACTTAGGAGTTTCACATGGCACACTGCGCCGGTACCGGTTTGCAGATGAATCAGCTTCCAGTTTACCGCCATTGACTTTACGTAGGAGTGTTTTCAAGCATCAATACCCCCCTGACAAGTAATTTTGACGCTGGCTCAGATGGCCGTGGGTCAAAACCAATGGGATCCCATTTTAGGGTAGGTGCACCACCCATTTTAGTCTGTTGTAGTGGGGATTGAACCGGATGTTCACTGGGGGTACGATTTGGATTTTGACCCATGGCCAGATGATGCATTAAAAAGCCTCCAGCTGACAGCTTGACCCCGTCAGGTTTATCGGCGCGCTCATGGAGGCAGATGTTCCCTGCCTGGCTGTGGAGGATGTCACAGAGGGTTTGGTGCTGGGACCATTGGCGCTGGACACGGGGCAGGCCGCCCTTCTCTGTTCTTCAGAATTCCATTGCATTTGGCTCTTTGGGCCACAAAAGGTCACCATTTTACGGTACAGTCATCCGTATAGAGAGAAGGTGCTACTGGGGCCCGCTCGGAAGTTAGGAGGTGGAGAAACAGTTGCGATCTCTGGACAGCAACGCAAAGGTTGAGCAAGTTTCAATGACTGTTCATCAGCTGAAGGATGCTGGGTCTCCGGGCCGCTTTGTGTCTGCCACGCCGCGCTCACAGATACATATGAGAGCCATCGTTAAGAGGAGTGAGTTCATTGAAAACTTGTAGCACGTTCAGAGGAGAGAAGCACAACGACGACAAGTAGGGCTTGGGGCTTTGATGCGTGCTCACGGCCGGACTCAAAACTGAAGTGATGACGTGTGCCCGCTGTTGTTTGATGCACCGGGTTGAACATGCAATGAGCAGTGCTTAACTCTAAATACCAGCATGCTGTGATATGGCTGGCTCTTAGAATAGGGGACCCTCCACAACGGCGGTTTTCCTTTTGGCTTCCCTTTCAAAATAATCAAACACAGGGAACCCTCAACAAAAGACAAGCCATCCATGCGCGGCATTTCTGCAATATTCTTCCAGGTTCCATTTCAGGCTACTTCGGATGTCGACCCCCTGGGCCACACGGAAGGTTTCAGAAGCAGATGGGCATCCATTTCTCTCGGATGCGTCTCACCGAGGCAAGCACTGCGCCGACCCTTGAAGAGCAGTGCTGCCGAGCAGGAGGGGATGTGCTACTTTGGCTGAAGTGCAGTGCTTGCTAGCTCCTTGCCATCTGACAGCTTTTCCGCGAACTATGGGAAACTTCAAGCCCTGTGCATCCCTTTGCCTTCTTCCACCATTCGAGGGCGTCTCCCTGCAACACAAGTAAGACACTCGAAGCAACAATGGAGGTGAACTTCTACAATGCGCAGATTCAGAGCTACAAAGCGAGTGTGATTGATAGCTACCAATTGAATCATGCCAGAGCCACACCTGAGGTTTGTTTTTTGCGAAGCAAGGCCCCGAAACAGGTCAAGTAGACCTTGCTTCAAGCCTCCGGATCGAAGATTCTGAAACAACACCCCCATGGAAAACCTGGCTCTTCTTCACAAGCTTTCCGCTCCAAGTCGAAGTGCTTGGTCACTCCGAGGCCTCGCTGGCCCTTAGTGTGGCTGTGAGTTGGCCATTGGAACCAGAAGGATGCCGTGTGCCACTGTGGGTGGGCAAAGTCCATTTCGCGCCACTTGGAAACCATGGTTGAAACCATTGTTCTTTGGTGATTTGCGGGGGGGTGATAAGAAACCAGAGTTTCTTGGGTGGTGCGATGTCTGGATTTCGCAACCATCCACTGTATCACTTGTCAGGCCGCCTGCGCGCTCGTATCTGCAGCGCAGCTGCAGCGCGCCATCCAGAGGCAGGAGTTGGGCGGGGGATCCCTTGTGAGGGTCGGTGCCGGGGTTGGGGGGAGGCAACCGCACGGGCAGAGTCAAAGCATCACTTGTCAGGAATCTGCCACATGGCCACATGTCAATTCATGCTGCAGTGCTGCTTGACTATGAGAGATCCTTGGGAGAATGCACGCGAAGGGCAGGAAAAGAAGCTGGGTTTTTGAGCATAAACGCGAGGACACATAGGTTGTTGTAGGCCGAGCGGCAGGCCGCGGCTGAGGCAGTCACCAACAAAGAAGGTTTCTGATATGGCATCCTTCGCCCCATTCCAAGTCTTGGTTTGACGTGTCGGGTTGCGCGGTTGCTCATGACTTGAAAGGCTGTCCGACTTTTCACAGTACATTGGATTGCCATTGCTCGGAGCAGCCTTAGTGCTGCTCCCTTGCTGAATCAAGCATTCCTCGACTAGTAGGCTAATAGGCTTCATGCATCAGGGGTCCTAGTCAAGAAAGCAGATGGCTGTGGGTCAAAACCAATGAAACCATTTCCGGGTAGGTGCACCACCCATTTCAGTCCATTTTAGTGGGGATTGAACCGGATGTTCACTTGGGGGTACGATTTGGATTTTGACCCATGGCCAGTGCATTCAGCGAGGCTTGGCCCCTGTCAGGTGCTTTGTACGCGAGCCGCTCCCACAAGGGGTGCAGGTGGATGTCTTCGCTGCGTGTCACTTCGCCAGGCAGGGTTGATCTGCGCTGTGCGGCAAGCTTCGCAAATGCAAAGCCCACTCGTGTCTCAAAATGGGGAGCCTCTTTGGATGGTGGCTTAGGAAGCCAAAAGTGAACCACCCAGTTTGGGGTTTGGGGGGTTGGGGGGTGCCCTAATGAGACACACTTTTCGTTGGGTCATTTCATAAATTTCCTGTCAGCCCAAGAGGCAGCTATGCTTGCGACCCAGGTGCTTGCCGTATTTGATGGAGGCACGGGCAGCGTCCAGCCTGAGAACTGAGGCATCGTACTGCCAGAGGCAATACTGTGGGTGAACAGAATCCATGATGATTCCCTTGCAAATGCCAATGGGCAATTGCTTCCCATGTTTTCCAAGTGGTGCAAGATTTCCCTCATCCACAGTATGAAACAAGGTTGCGGATGTTTTGGCCACGCGCTCTTCGGTTGCCCAAGTCTCTCCGAATTCGGCCTGTCCTCGTCTATCAGGGATTTACGCTGAGCTTTTTCGGACCAAATCGGATCCGATCAGCTGCTGGAGCCTGGCCCTTGCCATGACCTGCCTCGCGCAGGAGGCCATGGCTACGGAGGACTACGCCGACAGAGCCACGAGCCGAGCGGATGGCGACGCAAATGGATTCGGCGATTCGGCTCCATGACCCGTTAAAAATGGGGTCATTACCCAAAGCTAAGGGGCTATGACCCCTCTTGCTAGGGGTCATGGAGACCCTAGGGTGATCAATATGGCCACGTTGCGTTGGAGTGGCGGTCAAGACCTTTGAACATTGAGTCGGACCTTCGTCGTTCGAAGTCAAGTTGTTGCCATGGCGCAGCAAGGCCAGTAGAAGCGAGTCTGTGAATGAACAACCCGGCAAGCCTGCCCCTGCCCCTCGCATGTCACTGACATTCACGAAACCCATACGTGATGTCGACCCTGCCCTTCGTTGGACACTACCGGCCGTTTTGAGCAAATGGCTGTGGCTCAAATAAATGTACCAAAATGGCAAAGGTAAATGGAACCAAAGACTAAAACCTGCGGTTTGCCCTAGCTGTTGAATTTTGAGCCACCCAAATGGATGCCAAGGTGAAACGGCTAGCAGGAGCTTTCAAGTCCTTTGAGGCCGCCTGGCAGAATCTCGGCGCTGTTTGCTCAGGTGTCTACGTCATTTAGACGCGTATCAAAGATCAAAGTTTGTTGGATCCCTTTCCGAACCTTAGATATTGCTTCGACAACAATAGATACGGGGTCCGACAGGTCTGGCAGATATTCCCTCCCACACACTAAGATGGAAGCGCACAGATCCCTGCAGAACGACTGCTTTCCTCTAAAGGGGCTTTGAACTGCAGGGCTTCTCAAAAGATACATTTTGCCCATTTGAAACATGATGCACCAAAATTAAAGGACCACCATTTACAAGGCAATGTTCAGGTGTATTCTGTAAGGATCCCTCAACTGTGCACACCCCCATAGCTGCTGTTGGGAGGGTATCCAGGGGTGGCGCTTTCCCAGCGCGGAGTGCAGGACTTGGTCTCAGAACCGCGGCTCAGCGTGGAGATGGGCACCCAGGCGGATGGAGTGCATGGACCCAACTTGGACCCCTTTTTTCCCGGTCAGGGCTTGGTTTGAGGAGACTGGATTGAATTCCCATATCCATTTGAGGGGTTTTTGGTTTGGATTCCCCTTTTCCCATATCCTCTAGCTACAAGCGCTTTTCAAGTTTTGTCCTCTGATTGAATGAAAAAAGAGCCACATGCCCCACGAGGTGAAATGGCACCTGGGCTTGTGGGTAAGATGCCCAAGTTGCTCCACCAAGTCTTAGAGCTCGTGGTTTCAGTTGAGCTCGGATATTGCTTGGAAAGCTTGTCCTTGACAAGCGACGCTGAGTTCTGCGCGATGTGGTCAGGTGGTCAAGAAAGGACTTAGACTTCGTGGAGACAGCTGATAGGATACTTCTGCATGGTGGATAGCAATGTGCTCACTTTGCATGGTGGACAGCGAACTGCTCGCACCCAACTTGGCTTGATGAGGTAACGGCTTCCAAGCAACTTTATCTACCCAGCGTCTCTTCAGCCCACCTATCTACATGCTACGGGGCTAAAAATGGGTTGGGGCGGCCATGGCTGAACCCTAGAGATGGATGGTGCTTGCCCATTCACCCAGGCTTTCAGTGGTACCCCTTCCCCTCGAAAAACGGGGCGTTTCCCAAGAAGAACCGCAACTACCCCCTTTTTGTTGGCAGATCAGGACCAGGATCAAAGTGAAACTGTGAGTTGTTAGTTCTCTTCAGTGAGAGGTAGCCGTTACAAGTTTGGAACCGCAGCAGTTGCCCCTGTTGCCTTAAATTAAATGTTGCAGAGGGATCCATGAAACCCTCTAACTTACCATTTGGGTCTGGGTCAACATTAAACCAGGAGATGGACCGCTGGTTTTGGTCTATGTTTCCATTTGTCAGGGTCCCATTTCGGATACCCAGTTTGGACCCACAGCCATTTCATTCGAGCCAGAATCAAAACAGCTGTTTCAGCCTCAAGCCTTCCCGCGGTGACAGCTGTTAGCTGTTCGGTAGGACCTGGCCCCTCCTTGGTCATGGCCCCATCACCCGGACAGTTACAGATTTGGGGACGGGGGTTGATGTTGGCCTTTCTGGTCAACTTTCTCATGTTTTCCATATCCTTTGGAGATGTAGATGGGGGGGTTCAGGACGAATCCCGAGTTTGCGGTGACTATTCTTTTGTGTGTCTGTTTTCGAAGATGTTCTTGGTGGTTTGGAATGGTATTTGTATCCCTCCTGGTAAAGCAGCTTACTGGATCTCCCTCATTTGGAGCAGAGTGAGGATCAATAAGGACTGCAGAGATGAGTTGGTGCTATTTGGTATCTATGATTATTGCTGGGTATTGGTATGTATTCTTCTTCGAGAGCGGCCTATTGATGCGGTCTTCGAGTACCTCGTCATCGGTGCCACTGGTATTCTTTATTTGTCCATATGCCGATTTCTTCGTGGAGGAGCTGCATTATTGGACTATCTATTTGTGACTATTCTTCGTGAATTGGATGAGATACAGGCCGGGTGTCGCATTTGGGTGCAAGGGAGATGTCGGCTGACCCCTTGGATACCCTTTCGGCTCCCTATTTTTGTGATGTTCTGGGTGTTATGTACCCTCGCCTTGGATTGCTTTATTCATGGAAATGTTCCTTGCAATGAGCCCCCCGGATATGCAGTGAGCATTTATCTGGGACATGCAGAACCGCTGCTTCCTTCATATGGCTCAACCAGATTGAATGTGATTCCTGGCCCCTTGGTGGGCCTCGGCCATGGAAGCTGCCTTGGAGGCGTGAGACTTCTGCTTGGCTGGATGGGCGTGGCCTTTTTCTTTTGGGGATGGTTTCAGGTGTTATTCCGTCTCTGGGAGCTTCTTGGCCGAGTATGCAGTATAAGAGGTATAGAAGATGAGCAGCTTGGCGGGTTGGACATGGACCTGGACAAGTTTGGACGTGATTTGGAAGGCCCTTTGGCGACGCATGGCTCAGTGAAAGGGAGAACCTTGAACAATGCTGGGCGCGGCAACTGTTTTTGGTACGCTGTGAGCCAACTCCGTTTTGGGCATGCCAGGAGCTGGAGGAGGACCAAAAGGCAAGTGCTCATGGAGGCCAATCAGGAAACCAAGGAGAAGCACAAAGCAGGTGGTAAATGGGCTGACGAAGAGGCTATTCAGGCTACTGCCAATTTTCTTCGCCAAGAAATTTGGGTGGTCAACGTGAGTGGTAAGTGCAACTTCAATCACTTCGGACAAGTGGTGAGGTTTTTGCCCACAACCCAGGATCAGGAGATCAAGCCATTGGTCCTCAGGCTCTGGAGCGACCACTTTGAGGCCATCCGGGTGAACAGCTTTTGGCTTGAAAATCGCGAGGTTTCATGGGAAGCCTACAAGAGATCGCCTCTTGACTTGTGTGCCCCTTGTGTCGACCTTGGAGATATGGACGATAGCGGAGGCACGAATCCTTCTGGAGATCTTTGTGGAGGTGGCAAAGGTCACAAGAAAGGGAGGAGCAAATCACAGTTTGACGATTTTCCTGGAGTTACGTATGATATCAGCAGATACCTTTCTTTCGTTCTTCGGCATGGAGCAGAGAAGGAAGGTATTGAAATGGACAGAGAGGGACACGTGAAGGTGGAGGATATTTTGGCCAGAAAGCCACATGCCTCGATCGACAGCGTGCTTTTGGCAGTCAATCGGGATGAGAAGGGCAGATTTGAGGTACATCAAGGAGATGATGGGTGGCTTATTCGTGCAACCCAAGGCCACAACAAGGAGTTGGACCTCAGCAATGAGATGCATCGCCAGATTACAACGCCGGATGAGGTGGATCAGCCCACTTTATTTCATGGCACTTATTTGGCGGCGTGGGGGTCCATCAGACGTCAGGGGCTGCGATGCGGTCACAGGCAACACGTGCATTTCAGCACTACCTATTTTGTGAACCATGGCCAATCAGGTATGAGGCCGGGTTGTGATTTGGTGGTTGCAGTGAATGTTCAGCAATTGCTGGATGCAGAGATGCCCTTGTACAAGTCAACCAATGGGGTCTATTTGGTGGGCCAGGACATTCCACCGGAGCTTCTTTACAATGTTTATTGGGCTCGTGGTCCGCACGACTACAGGATGATATTTGCAGCCAAATGTCGGAGACTAGGCTTGGAGCCTTGGGGTGTTCTTCAGCCCCTAGAGGTTGATGGCGCAGGTGAAGAGGAAGTGAAAGAAGAGATGGAAGAGATGGAAGAAGTCCTCGTGGAAAAAGAGGAACATGAAGAAAGCAAAGAGCATGAGGAGCTGCAGGGAAGTGAAGAGGTTGCTGATGTTTTGGATCAGGCCTCGGGTTCCGATGGATATCGAGGCTTGGGAGAAGTGTGGAGTTTGTCGGACGCGCCGACTTGGCAGCGAGGGATCCGATTTAAGTCCCGATCCCGCTCCCCCGGGGGGAGGCCGCTTCACAATAGTCTTCGGACCCCGCTTCCGAGGAGGCGCCCTTTGCCGCGGTTGAGGAGAGATATCAGCGGAGCTGGACTATGGAGTACAGAGTACATGGAGCAATGGCGCGGTATCAGGGTTTATCTCTTTATGGTTTGCTTCCTGGCCTATCTTGGTGCAAGTGGCATGGAGATTACCTGTCTTATTTGCGGAGGCGGTGGAGACGACTACTCCTACTACTCTACCGATGACGAGGCCATGGCGCAGAGCAATCAACGTGAGGAGCCCACGAAGAGAGAGTCAGCGTGGAGGAAGCACGGCAGGGACCGCCGGTGCATGAAGGTTCACTTCGCCGTCACCCGGACATTCACCGTGGCTCCAACATATGAGCGGCCTCGTGAGGGCACCCCGCCACCAGCGAGGACGAGTGGAGGTGATGATCGGCCTCACAAGAGGAAGAGGCGCAAGCACAAGAAGATCTATGTTGAAGACACAGATCCCCGCCCCCCTCTTCCCCGCATAAGACGGGTTGAGGTGTGGAAGAAGGAAGAGCCTATGCTGGGCATCGATGGACGACCAGCCCTGCCTCGCAAAAGATCTTTACAGGGGGGTATGCTTGAACAGGAGGTACCGGTGGACCTTATGAGATTGGGGCAGTATTTGCAGCTCACGCCGTTCAATGATGAAATTAGGGACCTTTTTCCATTAAATCGGTATCAGACCTATGCACAGATTCTGGCTGAGAAAACCCGGGTTGTTATGACGCTCACCAAAATGTCTGAAGCTCAAGTCCTGAGCCTTAAAACAGCGTGTCGAAAGCTCATGGGCAAAGCTGTTCAACAGACGAGGGCCAAACAATTTCTCGATCAGGAAGATGAAAGAGATGTCAAGGATGCGGTTGCCTTGGCCACCATGCATGTTTCTGATGGGGATCAACAAACTCTTGTTGGCAAGTTTGTGAGTTGGAAGATCAAACCGATGCATTTCATCCCTGAAAGCTCGCCCTCCACTATTGCTGGTTTGCTGGGAATCGATGAGTACACTGTTGAAAAGGTGAGATCCATTCTTCTGGACTATTTCAGTTTTCCCCCAGAAGCAGACCCGGCACTGGGATGGTACTTCGACGTGACAGGTGGACGGACAGGCATTGTTCCTATTTGGGCGAACTCCCTCGGGCTTATTGGTGGGGGTGGGGAACATGACGATGAGTCTGTTACTTCGGATTCCTCTGCCTTTCACATGCTCAGCCGGTGTAGGGATGCCCAAACAGCTTTTGATGAGGCTATTCAACTGCAAAGTACGCTGAGAAAACGGAATCGAAGATTGGCCAAACATTTGCAGAAGCAACAGGAGGTCATTGAGGATCAAAAGGCTACTATCTGCAGGCTTAGGCACACCCTCTCGCAGCTTCTGCCCACTGCTGGAGGATTGTTGGGGATCCGCGGCACATTCCACTTGGTGATTCTGAAATCTCCCCGACGGTTCCCTTCTTTGTTGATGAAGGATCTCTGAGGGGCCTAGGGCCGGATCGTTTCCGTGACAGGTCCAACAGATTGGCTACGCAGCCTTATTCTATTGCATCTGGAAGACTGGAAATC